ATTCCCCTCCTCCTCCTACGCCTGCCCCTCCCCAATCTCTCTCCGCCTCCCCGCTTCCCGTCCACTGCCTCCTCTTCGTACTCCTCTTCCTCCTCCTCCTCCTCCTCCTCCTCCTCCTCCTCATCCTCCTCCTCCTCTTCCTCCTCATCCTCCTCCACCACCTCTTTTTTTTGCGCTGGCCAGACCTTACGCTTACGCACGTGGCGTTCTTGAAGCGCGGCCAACAAAAAGAAATGGTAAACGACTCGGCGCAAGGAGTGCGTTCAGGGCGCCGCAGCTAAGGCGGTAAGTAGAGACAGCGACAAGTAAAGGTATAATAGTAGGCGCCCGCCAGCAGGTAAAGCAGCACGTACCTGAGTGGTTAAGCCCAAAACATAAGTAAACCCTGGAAAACTGTGAGCATGCCGTAGTACACTTAGTACATGCTGCAAACAGTGCACAGGTGACTGTGCACAGAGCCACGCCTGCTACGTAATTGCCGCTGTTGGCAAGTACTAAAAAGACAACTGTGCAGAGAGCGACACCGTCACTGTGCAGCTCTAGGGTTGCTGCCCAGGGTTTTGGTTGACCTCAAACCGTATGCGCGCGCGCCCCACCTCTCCACCGCCAACCTCGTGACCCCCGCGATCCTCCACCAACCCACCATTCAGAGTAGGCAGGTCATACGTTGCAAAGCTGGCTCAAGCAACACTGGCTGGCCTTGTGGCTGGGAGCCTCGCAAGTGGCAGGAAGTAGCTACACCAAATTGCGCTGTTCCGCCAAATTGCAGTCGAGGCAGCGCGCGCGTGGGGCTTCGAGGTGTAGAAGTAGCGCTGTGCCGCCAAAGTGCAGTTGCAACTTTCAGGTTGCAAAAAGGAAGCATTGCAAGCTCCACCAATCCCGAAGAGTGCACTGTGTGCAGAGGGAGGATGGAGATAGAGGCGTGGAGGTGTCGAGACGAAGAAACAAAGAAGAGTGAGTCACGTGAGCGTGAGCTGCCAGGTGCAGTATCAAATTAGAACGGAAGAGCATAGCGTGGCAGTGCTAGGGTTGCAGCCTAGGGTGTTTGGGGGTTTACCCCGAACCACCTCGGTACTAGGACCCTCGTGCGTGTTGCCCTGTTCTTCTTGGGTTTAACACGAAAACTGTTTGTCCAACCTGTTTCTTCGCGTGATGAAGTCTCGCAAGGCTGGCTTGTTTAGGCTGGCCTATTGAGTATTAAAGATGTGCCCTATCTGTGGGCCAGGGTTTTCTGGCTGACCCTAAACCTTTGCAGCTACATTAGGAAGGAGAGTAGGGCCTCTGAAAGAACAATTGGGCCTGTAATCGAGCACAGGTGTGAGGTGCATAAGAGGGGTGGGGATGAGGTGGCGTAAATGCAAGGCGCCTGGAACAACTTGCAGAAGCAGCTTGTAGCAGAATGAAACACCCAATAGCCTGAGGTAAGGAAACCGAGGTAAATGCGTTCTGTGCTACCACTTCTCTTACGTGTTGCTCACGTAGACGTCTGGGACATAAAAAGGTGAGAGCCTGCGCTAGCTGGGTGGCCTGGGCATGAATACAAAACAAGGTGGTGGGTAATGTTAAAGAAGTGACGCCTGTAGACTGCCAAAGTTATGCTCAACACTACAGGGCAGCTTGAATACATAGGATCTTAACAAATATAGGATGTTTAATACATGTTTAATGTATGAATAAATGTATGCATGAACTCCCCATTCTTTTTAATACTAAATCCCTGCATGTTGAATACATGATCCGCACGCGGAGCATGATTGAAAACGGCACTGTACTGTTTGATGCCGCGTGTGAGCGTTAGTGCTGTGTGCTGCTAGACCCGCGCCGTGGGCGGCTGTAAAAGGATGACGGCACCTTGGGCGCCCCTCACAGTGTCAGCAATACAGGGCACCCTGCGACACACCGTTCCCATGAAGTAATGTCCCCATATGCCCATATGTGTGCTGCCATGGTCGTGCTGACCGAAGCGTAGAATAGCGGCAGCATGCTTAGCCAGCCAGGGTTTTGTAGGATTGCCCACAACCTCGTTGGAGAGAGGTGGATTGCCCACAACCTCGTTGGAGAGAGGTGCCACCAGCATGTCGGAATGCGAAGCGAAAGACGGGGGGTGTATGGCGCAACAGTAGATGGGAGGAAAGGGGATGGGACTTCTGGTATAGGAAAAAGCGAAAGAGACTCCTCCTCCTCCTCCTCCTCCTCCTCCTCCTCCTCCTCCTCCTCCTCCTCCTCCTCCTCCTCCTCCTCCTCTCTCCTCCTCCTCATCCTCCCTCCTTTTCTCCTCCTCCTCCTCCTTGTACTCCTCCTCCTCCTCCCTATACTACTCCTCCTCCTCCTCCTCCTCCTCCTCCTCCTCCTCCTCCTTGTACTCCTCCTTGTACTCCTCCTCGTACTCCTCCCCCACCTTCTATCGCCAGGCTCCCCAGGCCCCCCCCCCGCCCACCACGGCCGAGGCGGCAGCTCCGGCCGCGGGCGGCTCGGGCGGCTCGGACGCCGCCTGGGCGGCCTCGGGGGCAGCAGAGGTGGTCAGGAAGCAACGCCTGGGAATCGCTCGCAATAGGACACAGAAGGACATACTACTGCTCTGTCGGAGACGCCCGCCCGAACCAAACATGTAGTACAAACATCTTGTAGCACATCTTTTCCCGAGCGGCATGGCCAGAAGGCGCCCGCAACCGAGCATATACTTCAAACACCTCGGCGCGCGCGTCGCCCCTTTGGGAGGGACGCACAGATAGTATTCGTATGTTTGGGCGACGCCGACGTGAGAACGATTAGGAGCTTCTGCAACAGATGAGGGGTTATGAATCTGGATCAGGCCAGACTGAGCCAGGGATCAAGCCAGATCAAGAAGGACTGAGCCTGATTAAGCGGGATTATGCCAGACCGGGCCAGCTTTTGACCACGGATATACCGGCGCCGATGCTGAATCTGACATTCCAGGAGTTGCATCCTAGAAGTGGGGGTGGGGCCTGGATTCGGGTGGGGAGCGCGCCCCTACTCCGAACGGCGGGTCGACCCAGCAGGCAACAAGACCCCCACAGGTCAGACTCCTGACAAGCTGGCGGGAGGCCAGCGTTTGAAGGATCTCTGCAGCAGAGTGAACCCCAGCGGGGGTTCAGATGCCCCAGCGTCGATCCTCCTCCTCCTCCTCCTCCTCGTCCTCCTCCTCCTCCGACCCGCGGGAGCAGACTTTGCACGTGGTCGCAGGCCCAGAGCAGCAGGGCAGAGAGCAGAGGCGAGGAGGAGGGGACCGCGGCGCGGAGGCGACCCCGACGGGGCGGGCCCGGAGCGCGAACCGACTGGACCGACCCGCGCGCAGAGAGGAGGCTGGTGGGGAGGAGGAGGAGGAGGAGGAGGAGGAGGAGGAGGAGGAGGAGGAGGAGGAGCAGGAGCAGGAGGAGGAGGAGGAGGAGGAGGAGCAGAAGGAGTAGGAGGAGGACGAGGAGGAGGAGGCGAGGGAGCGGAGGAGGAGGAGAAAGAGGAGGAGGAGGAGAAGAGGAGGAGGAGGAGGAGCAGGAGGAGCAGGAGGAGCAGGAGGAGGAGGAGGCGGAGGAGGCGGAGGAGGAGGAGACAGACGGGGAGGAGGAAGAGGAGGAGGAGGAGCAGGAGAAGGAGGAGGAGGAGGCGGAGGAGGCGGAGGAGGAGGTAGACGAGGAGATGAGGACAGCACAACCCCCTCACCCTCGGCCAAAACCCCCACTCCCGACCTGGTGATCCAGGGGGTCTCGGCTGGGGGCTGGGGTTGGTTTCTGGGGGGACTCTTGGTGGAAGCAACACCCCCCCACACCCAGACAGGACGCTCTGGATCACCAGGCCAGGAGTGGGGGATCGCGCGCCTCACGCTCTCTTGCGGCCCCCCCGATGAGGAGAGGTACGGCTCACTGGCCCTGGCCGCGACGCCTGAAGCGCTGTTGCCTTCACGTCCGCACGGGTAACTTTGTCAAGAGCACCTTGATTCAGTAGCACCTCACTTGAACATCCAAATACTTTCTCGCCTGGATCGGTGCCTACCCCCTAACTGCGGTCAGTCGGACGACACAACTGTGTTGCTACTTCCAGGAAGAACACTTACGGGTAAAAGCTAACATGGACATGTTTTCCAAAGCAGCGCCACCTGTAGACCCCGGACTGCCGACACGTCCCAATGTCCCGAAGATGGTCGCTGGACTGGTTCCCGATACACTGCACGCAAATGTAAACACAAACCCTGAATTCAACCGACGATGGCTCCAGAATGAGCCAAGATAACACAAGCTGGCCTCCAAGGCCAGCCAAGATTTCCCAACTAGGCTCTCTTTTTGACCTCCACTATGACCCCCCAATGTGTCCAAGATTACCCCAGGATGGTACCAAGGAGGCCCCAAGCTGGCCCCCCGAGGGGAAACCCATCGAACCCACAAGAAAGCGTTCCCCGATCAAGCTTGGCCGACGCAGCCCGTCTTTGAAAGAGCGCCAGTGGCAGGATGGCTCTCGGCGGCAAATTTCTGGTGCGGCTGCTCGTCGTGGGCCCCGTTCCGAGCTCAGATTTTGAATTGTGTTGCGGTGCTGTGCTTTGCATCACTTTCCTGTGCATCGTACTGAGCTGCTTCACAGTGCGACTGCACTGCACTGCACACCAAAGTGAAGCCATGCAGCGCAGTGTGATACTATGGCAGCGCTGCGCTGCAGAGCAGAGCAAAAACACATGTACCGCGAAAAAAACAGAGCAGAGCCAAGCGAGGCAAGAAACCGACGGCAAAACCATGCAATCAGCGCAATGCAAGCGCAACAAGCTGCACTGCAGAGCCGCCAGCGTGCCGCTGGGCACGGAGTGGAGTGCACCCAGGCCCTCTGCGGAACGTGATACGGTCGGAGCCAGGCTGGAAGAACATCCCTCAAGAAGATGAGGCCCTCCGCCGGCCGAAACACCCCAAACCCTAGGATCGTTCGAGGGCACCCTCCCCCAGGATGCACAAGAACATCCAACAAACACTAGGAACACTAGGGTACCCTCCCCGAACCGACCTCGATCTCATGCCTCGGTCCGACTGTACTCCAAGAGGCTCAGAGCCCCAAGTCCCACACTACTTCGGGTTGATCGCTTGATGTGTGGGGCTTCCCGCAGGACTCTCGGAGCCTCCTGGATAACTTTTCCGAAGCCCTGAGGGCCCAAAGATGGGCCAACAGAGTTCTAACAGGGCCCCAAGACTGTCCAAGAGGGCCCCGAGGCGACCCAAGATCTCTCCAAGACGCCCAAAGCGGTCTCCAGGCGGCCCAAAAGGCCCCCAGGACGCCACCAGAGGGCTCGAGGAGGCAGATCTCATTGTTTGGCCTGCGGCTCGTTTGGAGACTTAGAAAGCTACCACCCGTTCGGCTCCAAGAGCCCCCAAAAGTGCCCGAAGAAGGCCCAGGAGGCCCCCACTAAAGCCCAAGACGGCCCAAGAGGCTCCCAATACGGCCCAAGATGGTCCCAAGAGGGGCCCAAGACGTGGAACACGAATGGACATTCAGAGCCCTCTGGCCAAGATGACCCCGAGACCGCCAGCAAGCTCCCAAAAGGCCCCCAAGGAGCCCCTAAAAAGGCACCCAAGAAGCCTCCGAGAGAGGTCCCCAAGAGGCCCCCAAGAGCCCTCAAAGAGGCCCCAAAGAGACTCGTCCACGCACCCAAGAGGCCTCTGTCACACGACCAAACAACTCAGTCGTTTGATAAAACATCTGGTAAACGCAAAGCGAAGCAACACAATTCAAAACATCGTCGTACTATGTGATAACTTGTTCGTGCTCCCGTGATTGGAGCTTGTTCTAGGCTAGCGCTGGTCTTCGGTCAGGTACCTCGCTTTTTGTGCGCCAACCCTCAGACAAATTGACACCTAAAAGTGGGGGCGCAACGGGTTCATTGAATACCTGCTTCCATTGCATTTTCGGCCTAGGACGAGCCTGCGAGGCCTTTGAGCTGGTCCGGAAGCGATCCAGAAGAGGGACCCTGGCAGGGGCCCAAGGCCTTTTACTGGCCACGGAAAAACAAGGAGCAATACTCGGCCAGGCGAAACGTGGCCAGCCTGCCAAATTCATACTGGTCGAGTGGAGCTGGCTGAATTCAGCGTGGTCGAGTTCAGCCTGGCCGAGTTGATCCTCGCCGAGTTTAGTCACTGCCAAGGGCCCCTTCGCTCGTTCGCTCGACCGTGCATCTGGCAGGACGCGTTGGCAAACGCAAGGTTACAAGGTTGGCAACCGAATAGAAAACATCGACCACAAATATACAATGAGTGTTCACAACAATGGGGAGGGTGGAAAAGAAGATTGGGGCAGACCGTATACAGAGGAAGCCCACTGCTACCTAGGCCTGCCACGTCGCCGATGAAGAGCCTAGATATTTGGTGATCCGTCCGGTTCTCATACACATTGTCCTCAACAGAGAGCCCCGAGACATCCAACTGAGAGAACATGGAGCCCCAAGGGCGAGGGCCGTACAGCCAGACGCCGCGTCCAGACCGCAGCGGGTGCAAGGAGGTGCAGCTGCCGCGGCAGTCGCAGCGTCTGTCGCCAGGAGCAATCGGCCACAGCCCGCAGTGGTCGAGGCAGGCGTCATCGGGTGCGAGGGCGTTAGAGAAACCCAGCTGCAATGCGAAACATCAGCGGCTAGGCCCCCCAAGGACGCAACCGCAGACGCAAGCGACGAGTGACGTGGCGGCAAGGGAAGTCCCAAGCGAGGGCCGACAGCAGTGGTCACCGCGGGCAGTTGTCGGGGAAGGGGGCGATAAACGCAATCCTTCCCATGGACATGGCCACCAGAAAGGGAGGAGCAGCAGGAACGGGAGAAGGAGCAGGATAAGCACATGTATCTGACGACCTACCAGACCAGCCCAACCCAACCCGAAGACCCGAATTTCGGGTTGGGGGGGGCACGGGCTTCCTATGTGTTCTTCCAATTTTCCCCGAGGCCCCCCACTGGAAATGGAGGGCAAATCGGGGCCGTCGGGTTGGGCTGGAGCGGTTTGGTGCGCGGTGAAGAACAGCAGGAACTAGAGGAGCAAACAAAGCATGAAACATAAACTGTTAGAGATCCGCGCGGATGCGCAAAAAAAATGCTTCTGGAGCCCTCTCTTCTTCAAAAGTTTCCCCCGCGAGCCATCAGGAAGGACCGAGGGGCAACAGTTCTGTCCACGATGGAGGGCACGCACTGTGAGTGCCCCCCCTGGAACAGAACGATGTCCGACGCTGTTCGAGCACAGTCCGCAGGCTGGGCAGTACCGACCACGAACACAACATCACGGACGGCGCAAGGAGAGGTGAGGGGCGAGGCACAAAACAGGACAAGGGCTGCCCCTCAAGAAACGTTGCTGCTGCTGCTGCTGGCGGCGGCTTGTCTGGCCGCCAGTTCCCTCGCCTGCACGCGCGCCAACAGAGCTGCCAGCCCCGCCGTCTGCGGAAACGCGCCCGGTCCTCCTGGCGGCTGGCGAGGCTCGGGGGGGGCGGCGAGAGCGCAGCTGCGTGCTGCATGTAAGCCGTGCTTCGGCGATTAAC